TTGTCAGTACCTCCTCGCTTTTCTATCTCTTTCTGTGATTGTGACATATTTCAGTCTATGTGCTCCTCTGTGGTTTACCTAAACTAAGTCCTAAAGTTGACAATTAGCTTAAAAGATTCCCCCAAAGAAATCATGCATTAGGGAAGATACTGATAATGCAACAAAAATGAAAACAAAAACAGGTAGAGCTGATGCTTCTTCTATTCTGGTATGACTGAGTTCATCATTACTGACATCATGAGGTAAATATTCTATAATAAGATGTGACAAGACACTCAAAAATGATAAAGTTATTGAGAAGTGATTTGAATGTGGATTAATATCCTCTATGTGTGTCCCATTAAAATGGCTAAAATTTAAAAGATTGACAACACTAGGTGTTGACAAGGATATGGAGCAACTAGAACTCTCATACTTTGCTGGTAGGGATTTAAAAGGATCAACCACTTTGGAAAACTATTGGGTAGTTTCTTAAAAAGTTAAATATAACCTACCATAAGACCAAGCCATTCTACTCCTAGGTAGTTACTGGAAAGAAACAAAGGCATATATTCATCAAAAGATATATGTGAATGTTCAAATAATGGAAATGATGCATAAAATAGAGTATATCTATATTATTAACTGTAGTGGACATTGTCAGTGACCCACCCATATCCCTTGAACCTTTCAATGTTCTTATACTGACTTCCAGTTCCCACTATTTGCATCTCTGTGCTGGAGGAATCTTTTCCCTGGAACTGCAGAAAGTAGCACTTCCCACCAAATGGCAGACTACAGGTGCCAAGGAGTTTACACTGTCTGGGAGCAGCCCTTAACCAATGACTCTTGGGAGTTGATGTCCAGCTCCCTCACTCCTTGAGTGAGGAATTCTGAGGCATGTGTTTTAAACCATTTCTCAGTTTCTTCATGGGATTAAGCTCCAGTTGCCCACTGCAATACTGCAACCTTTATTGGCTGCCTTTCTGTCCCTATACCTGCGTGACCTTCACTTCCCAAATAAACTACCTGCAGTTATACCTTTGATTCAATGTCTGCTGAACTAAGACACTTTTTTTAAAGGTAAAGTATTAAAAATTAACAATTTTTGCAGTTGAAAACATGGTTGTTATAATATTCATCTGTATTTGTCCAAATTTAATTCTCAAAATTAGTTAAAAATTTTAAGAGTATTATCATATACAACTCATTTCTAAAGGCACATATTATATAATAAAATTAGGAAACTGAAGTTATATGGTTAGAATGCTTTCTTTTTCTAACATTTAACTATAAAAAATTTAAAATATACAGAAAAGTTGGAAGAACTGTACTGTGAACTCAAATACACACACTACTTAGATTCTTCAATTAACATTTTACTATATTTGCTTTATAACATAGTTATTCCTCTAACCATCTTACATATTTATGCATTTCAAGATAAGTCAATATATTTGACTCCCTAAATACTTCAGCATGCACATTGTTAATTAGCGTTCAATATAGATTTCTAATTTTTGAGTGAAATTTACCCACAAAGAAATGCATAAATCTCAAATGTACCAACAGATGAGTTTTGAAAAATACATCCACTGTGTAACCCAAACCTCTATCAAAATAGAGAGCATTACTATCACCAAAGAAAGTGCCCTCATGCCCCCTTTCCAGTCAATCCTCCCCTCTGAGGTAACTTCTGTTTTTGTTTTTTTCCCACTATAGATTAGTTTTGCCTATTCTAGAACATCATATAAATGGAATCTTACAATGTGCATTATTTGTGTAAGGTTACTTTCAGGCAGCGTAATATTTTTGATGTTTATCCAAGTTACTGCATTACTGTAGTTCATTCTATATTCCATTGTTTATTCAGCCGTTTTTTTGATAATCCATTCTACTGATGTACTTCTGGGGTTTTACCAACTTAAGGCTATTTTGAATAAAGCTTGAATAAAGTTGCTGAATGTTTTTATGGACATATGTTTTCATTTGGGGGAGATGGTAAATTCCAAAGAGAAGAATTTCAGAGACATCAGACAGATGTATCTTTAGTTTTATTAAAAAACTGTCAGATCCTTTTTCAAAGCAGCTGTAACATTTTATACTCTCACCAATTTGTTTGAGAGTTCCAGTTGCCCTCCTTCCTCACCAAAATTTGCTGTTGTCATTTTTTTTCATATTAGCCAACGTAGTGTGTATGTACTGGTATCTCACTGTGGTTTCAACTTGCATTTCCCTATGACTCATAATGCTGAGCACCTTTTCATGTCCTTATTGGCCATTTGTGTATCTTTCCTTGTAAAGTGTCTAATCAAATCTTTTGGCCATTTTTGGTTGGATCACTTGTCCTTTTACTATTGACTTGTAGGTGTTCTTTATGTAACCTGGACAGCAGTCCTTTGTCACAGAGTTTTGGAATATTTTCTCTGTCTGTGGCTTACCTATTCATTTTCTTAATGGCATCTTTTGATGAGCGGAAGTTTTTAACTTTAAGTCTAATTCATCAATTTTTGTTCTTTTGTTATTCTTACTTCTGTGTCCTATCCAAGAAACCTTCATTTACTATCAATTCATGAAGATATTTTCCTGTTTCTCCTTTTATTGTTTTAGCTTTTATATTTAGCTCTGATTAATCCTGAATTAATTTTTATGGAGTTAAGGAGTCAAGGTATATTTTCCTATATGGCTATTCAGTTGTTCCAGCACAATTTGTTGAAAGACTTTCTTTTTCCCATTGAATTGTTTTGGTGCCTTGTCAAAAGTGAAATGATCATTATCAACAGGGGTCATTTACAAGGCTATTTTGTTCCATTGATCTATTGTTGATCCATATGCCAGTATTAAACTGATTTGTTTACTGTGATTTTATAATAAATCTTAGAGTCAGATGATGTTAATTCTCCATTATTATTAGCTTTTTATATAGCTTTTTGTATTTTTTTTAGTGGTTGCTCTAGGGATTATACATCCTTAATTTCTTAGTCTACATAGAATGAATGTTGCACCATGTCACATAAAATACAAAAAGCGTGCAACCATATGGATCTATTACCCCATCCCCCTGTCCTTTATGCTCTAGCTGTCATATGTTAAATCAATATACTTTATAACCTCCACCATATAATATTATAATTCTTACTTTAAATGATCATAGACAGTTTTTCAATTCAAAGGAAAAAAGAGTTTCATATTTACTGATATTTATTACTTATGGTACATTTTAACCCTTCCCTGCAGCTCTGTTCACTTTTTTCAGTGTTTATCTCTCTTCTTCAAATTGAATAATTTCTATTAATCTATCTTAAAGTTCATTGATTCTTTCTTTGGTAATCACAATATGCTATAAAAGTCTATCCAGTAAATTTTTATTTTAGATATTGTATTTTTTAATTCTTGACTTTCCAATTTTTAATAGTTTCTTGCTGAGATTTTCTCTCTTTTCATTCATTATTAGCTTATTTTCCTCTATGTCATTGAACATAGTTAACAGCTGATTTGAAATCCTAGTCAGCTAATTATATCACCTGGCCCACCTCAGGGTTGGTCTCTGTTGACTGTCTACTCTTTTGAGTAGAAGCCATTTTCCTGTTTCTTTCCAGTTCAAGTAGTTTTGGATTGTATCCTAAACATTGCGGATGTTATGTTATGGAGACTCTGGATTCTGTTATGGTCCTCTAGAGTATTGATTTTTTTTTTTTTTTTTTTTTTGGTATTGCTTTGTTTTAACAGGTAGTTAACTTGGCTGAACTCATATACTAAAGACTGTTTCCCCTAGGGTAGGTAGCAGGTAGTCAATTGCTTTAGCCTTAGATGAGCTACTTAAGAGTCTTCCCTGTACACACGTATTTTAGGGATAAGCCAGAGATTTGGGAAGAGTTTATATGCGTAATTTGAGCTCTCACTTTCTATCTCTTTTGGAGGATATCCTCTCACTTCTCAAAGCTGGGACTGCCTTGATCTCTGTCCTCCAGTCTTAAAGTCAAAAAGACTATAGATTTCTATCAAAGTTCTAGCTTCCCTGCTTGGAATAGATTGTACCCTGCCCTCAATCTAATAGCCATAAAAAAACACCAAAACAAACAACAACAACAAACAGGGAATTCACCCAGTGCTATCCCCTTCTTTCAATTAAAAAAGTAATAGATCTTTTTAGTTCAGTTTTAGGTTCATAGTAAAATTAAGCAGAAAGTACAGAGAATTCCCAGATACTTCCTGCCCCCCACACATGCATAGCTTCCCCCACCATCAACATCCTGCACCACAGTGGTACATTTTTTACAATTAATGAACCTACATTGGCACATCATTACCATCCCAAATCTATAACTTACATTAAGGGTACATTCTTGACGTTGTATATTCTATGGGTTTTGGCAAAATGTATAAAGACAGCTATCCACCATTATACTATACAAAAATAGTTTCACTGCCCTAAAATACTCCATGCTCTATCTATTCATCCTTCCTTCCTACCCTGGCAACCACTGACCTCTTTATTATTTCCATAGTTTTGCCTTTTCCAGAATAGTCATATATTACAGTTGGAATCATCCAGTACATAACCGTTTTAGATTGGCTTTTTTCAAATAGTAATAGGCCTTCTTTCAATTTTTCTTATGTTCCCTCCATGTGCTTGGTCTTGGTCACTCTCCAGTGTTTTTAGGTAGGTACTTTGTCCAGAATTTATAGTTGTTATCTGTGGGAAATCTGATCTAATTAGAGCTACTCAGCCATTAACAGAAAAAAAGTTTTAAAATACAAATTTGTACATTTAACAGGAATAACCAGACTTCTGGTCACAGTTCAAGATTGATGTATCAGAGCTTATCTTAGATCAGGCCTATAATTATTAAATTTCAGGGATGGAATAGATCTTAATGGTCATCTGGTATACTAACAAATAACAGGTTTAAAATTAATCATAATTCCCATCACATAAAATGAAGTACCATTATTTCATGACTTATGATATACCATTAACCAAAAAAAGGACGATTATGTTCTAAACATATATAACAAACCTGTCAAGGCTGTTTCACTTATGGATTTAATCTGTAGAAAAACTTCTCCTTTCAGTGAAGTCCAGTTTTGAAAATTATCATATATTTCATTTTTAATACTGGTTAGCTCTCTTTTACTAAAAGTAAGTAATGAAAGAGTCTTATTCCAGAGATACTTGTATTCTGTCAATCTCTGACTGTAAAGAAGTAAGGAAAAATTAGGATTTTTAAAAATAGCAAGCATAATAACAAATATGTATTTGAAAAAAGGTTTTCTTTGAAAAATGGTTTTAGAGTGACCATACAATCTACTGTTTAAACGGAGACAGTTATGAAAGTAAAAGTAGGTGCTATCTGCATTATGCTGAGACAACATATAAACTGGGGTTATCCCAGGAAGACTGAGGTATATGGTCACCTCAACTCATTTCCATTGTGTTATAATATTTTAACTATAAATAAAGATAGCTAACTACTTTCATACACATTTTTCTATTAATCTTTTAAAATTAATTTAACAGCAAACATTTAGTGAAGGAAATTCAGTCAAAAGTGACTTAGTCAGGACTCCCCCGGTGGCGCAGTGGTTAAGAAGCCGCCTGCCAATGCAGGGGACGCGAGTTTGATCCCTGGTCTGGGAAGATCCCACGTGCTGCGGAGCAACTAAGCCTGTGTGCCACAACTACAGAGCCTGTGCTCTAGAGCCCACAAGCCACAACTACTGAGCCTACGTGCCTACTGAAGACCGTGCGCCTAGAGCCCGTGCTCCGCAACAAGAGAAACCACCATAATGAGAAGCCCGAACACTGCAATGAAGAGTAGCCCCTGCTCGCCGCAACTAGAGAAAGCCCGCCTGCAGCAACAAAGACCTAATGCAGCCAAAAATAAATAAATAAAATAAAAAAGTGACTTAGTCACTGAGCCTAAAAGAGAATCTCAGATTTGTAGACAGCATTCTTCCTGCGCTAGAGTCCTACAGGCAGTGTAAAACCTAGGGTAATAATAAATGAAACCTTTTTAAGTGACTGATCCAGTGCTTTTCCCACATCAAATGCCACAGCTCAAAGTAACCACATGTTTTTTACTATCTCAATGATTTTTATTACTTCAGATGTTCTGGCTATCATTTACCTAACAATCAAGCAAGATGCAGACATGGATATGAGTGTTATCAGCAAAAAGATGATGACTGAAGCCATGGGAGTTAATATTTATCTAACTAAGTAGACTAAGATCTATTATGCAGAGACTGTATCTGTCTTGTTCATCACAGTCTCCCTTGCACCTAGCACAGTACCTACCACATAGTATGTACTCAACACATATTGATGAATGAATGAATGAGTGAAAAAAATAGATCACTCTGTTGGAGGAATAAAGAAGTAAGAAATACTGAGGATAAGATACTGGACAACACTAATATTTATGGGAATAAATCAGAAAACAAACCCTCAAAGGAGATGAGGGAGGAGCAACCAGTGAAGAAAAGCCAAAAAGATAACATCGGAAAAGCCAGGGGATAAGAGAATTTAAAGTAGAGAGTAGTGATCAGTGTTTAAGGCCTCAGACAAAGGCTGAACAGAGGCCATTATATCCGGTATTAAGGAGGTCTTTGGTGACCTAAGAGAGAGGCTTCAGGTAGGAAAAGACTGAGCAGTAAAGCAGAAGTGAGAAAATAGTTATGTGGTACCAGCAATCAAGAACCTGGATTGAGGCAGCAAGGAGAGAAAAAGGAAGATACACAGTAGAATGGTTTGTTAGGATGGGAGACACCTGAGTGTTTACAGAGCTGAGCAGACAGTATGAGTACAGTCACAGAGGCTAAAAAGCACAGGCAAGAGATGTGATCATTTTTTGTGCAGAGAGCTAGAAAGAAAGGACAGATGTAAAACAAAGGCTGAAAGATTAGCCTTTGCCAGGAAGAAGAAGGGTGGTGTCATTCTGTGTGGTTAATTAATAAGGTCCACTTGAGTGACCAAAAGCCACAGGGAATCCTCAATCAGCATGCAGACCTGGGAGCTAAGAGAGAAGTTGATTTAAAAAAAAAAAAAAAATCAAAGAAAGGGGTGGGGGTGAGGGAGGGATGGATTGGGAGGTTGAGGTTAGCAGATGCAAACTATTACATATAGAATGGATAAACAACAAGGTCCTACTGTATAGCACAGGAACTATATTCAATATCCTGAGATAAACCATAATGGAAAAGAATATAAAAATGAATGTATATAACGTGTAACTGAATCACTTTGCTGTACAGCAGAAATTAACACAACATTGTAAATCAACTATATTTCAATTAAAAACAAGCCAAAAAAAAAATCAAAGAAAGAGTCCAACAGATCACTAAAGCAAAGGGGAGCAATGGTGAGGATGGCAAGTTTGAATGTGAAGCCAGGAAGTGGTAAGACAGAGACAAGAACTATGAACTAAGTCAAGGTTAAAGGCCTAATGGGCCCAATGTAAGGCAGCTGCTGGGAGCAAGTCATGAACATGGGGGTCAAGGCCTAAAGGGATATTTAATAGAAGAAAGACCAGATACGGATGCATGTGCTTCTGTAGGGACAAAAGGCAGGAAACAGAAAAATCAAGCCACTTAGCGAAGAGCAGATCCATCACATTTTGTGCGGCCTAGATCTTATATGATTGGTGTGGATAGAGGGATGGCTTTCTTGTAAAAGATGACTACAAAATTAGGTTTAAAAGTGTGCACTTATAGATTGAGAAAAATCATTACAAATAAAATTGTAAAAGTTAATAAATCTCATCAATATCACAAAATACAGAAAAACAGTATAACTTTTTAATAAGTAACAGCTCTACAATACTTCTTTTGTCTATAATTTTTGGTTACATGCTTTACAAGCACCTTTTCATATGAGAACCATTTTATAATAATACTTTGTGTGGAGAGAATATAAAAATTATACAGCCTTTCATCTAGCAAGGCCATTAGTTTTATTATCTGTGGTAGTTTAGAAAGATTCTTTTAGCTTCATAGCCCATTACTGGTAATATCATGTAAATATTAAGCATTGTCAAATTTGGGAAAATCCTTATAAAATTTTTTCATATATGATAAAATTTTTGGCATTTCAAGTTTTCTTGGAAAATGACATCTTAAATTGTCTTTGAAATGATGAAACTCATGAACCAGCTTATCTCAGATGTCCTTGAAGTGGTATACTATGATTTTTATGTTATATTCAGTGATGTCAGCAGCTTTGGTCAAATCAGCAAGAAACTTAAATCTTTCTCCAATGTATTCAAATAATTAACTCCTCTTCATTGAATGGATTACAAAATAATCCAAGAGATTTTATTGAAATTGTATCACTTATGATGTAATCTGAAAAAATGTTATAATTTGTTTTTTATGACAGAATAATTTCTATTGTTTAAATTGTTCATCTTTATTGCTTTTACTCCATTAATTCAAAAAACTTCATACAGGGCTTCCCTGGTTGTGCAGTGGTTGAGAGTCTGCCTGCCGATGCAGGGGACACGGGTTCATGCCCCGGTCCGGAAAGATTCCCACATGCTGCAGAGCGGCTGGGCCCGTGAACCATGGCCACTGAGCCTGCGTGTCCGGAGCCTGTGCTCTGCAACAGGAGAGGCCACAACAGTGAGAGGCCCGCCTACCGCAAAAAAAAAAAAAAAAAAAAAAGAAATTCATACACATCCCTATTTTTAGTCTGCAATGTCTTGTTTGTGTAATTGAAAATTACATTGAAATGACTTTCCAAATGGCAGTTATAATGTATATTGCCAACACAACTTTCTCTCTCAGATCCCTCAAATGCCAGGGACTACTCCAAGGGCATACTGACATCAGAAGTAGGAGAAGGGAAATCAGAGTGCAAAGAGACAGAATTTTTACAATTATAATTTAAAACCATCTTACTTTGCCAGGGGCCCTCCCAGAAGCTTGGAAGGGGGTCCTTAGTGCGGGGTTCTGAAACTTAAGTATCATTTGACTCACAGGAAATATGTCTGTGTTGATAACTTTAACTCTCTTTGTGAAATACAAGGCAAGACACACAGCTGGTGAGAGATGAGTAGCACAAAGAATTTTAAGCAGAATATTGAGGATTTAGAATAGTATTGAAGAAATTGAGGGCCTGGTGTTTAACAATCTGTAAGTGGATATAAAGACTGAGGGTTTTAAGGGTAAATAAGCAGAGGTAAAAGTAGCTGGAGTATTGGTAAATTCCTCTATGCAGAAACATACTCTATGAAGAAAATCCTAATGAATACACACACACACACACACACACACACACACAAATACTAGAATAAATGGGTTCATCAAGATCACAGGATACATAAACCATGTGCAAAAACCAATCTGTTTACTAGCAATGATGAATCCCAAAAATAAAGTTAAGAAAAAAATCCCACTTGTCATAACATCAAAAAGAATAAAATATTTAGAAATAAACTAAATAAAAGGAGTGCAAGACTTATATACTAAAAACAAAACATTTCTGAGAGAACTAAAGATCTCAGTGGAGAGATATATGGATTCTTGGATTGAAAAATTCAACATTTTAAAAATGGCAATTCTCCCCAAATTGATCTATAGATTTAATGCTATACCTATCAAAATCCCAGTAGGCTATTTTTCAGAAATTGACAAGATGATCCTAAAATTTATATGGAAATACAAGGTTCCCAGAATAGCCAAAACAATCTTGAAAACAAAGAAATTTGAAGGGCTTACATTTCTTGATCTCAAAATTCACTAAAAATTATAATATTCAAGAGAGTGTGGTACTGACATTAAGAATAGATATACATCAATAGATGAATAAAATAGAATAGAGAGTCCAGAAATAATTCCTTCCATTCATGGTGAATTGATTTTAGATAAAGGGACCAAGGCAACTCAATAGGGAAAGAATAGTCTTTTTAACAAACAGTGCTAGAATAATTGAATATTCACATGAAAAAAAAAGATGAATTTAGATCCTTACTTTACATTATTCACAAGAGTTAAAATGGATCACAGACCTAAAGGTAAGAGCTAAAACTATAAAACCTTTAGAAGAAACTACTGGAAAAAATCTTTGTGACCTTTGGTTAGGCAGAGTTCTTAGATACATTACCAGAAGCACAATTCCTAAAAGAAAACATTGATTAAACTGTATTTCACTAAAAATAATAACTTTTGTTCTTCGAAAAGACACAATTAAAAAAATGAAAAGACTTGCCACAGACTGGGAGAAAATATTTGCAAATCATATTTCAAATAAAAGACTTGTACCCAGAACATACAAAGAACTCTTATAATCTGATAACAAGAAAACAAACCAATGAAAAATAGAAAAAATATTTTAATAGATATTTCACCAAATAGCCATAAAAATAGTTAATAAGCACACGAAAAGATGTTCAACACCATTAGTCATTTGGGAAACACAAATCAAAGCACAATGAGGTACCATTTCACAGCCTCTAGAATGGCTACTATAAAAAAAATACAGACAATAAGAAATGTTGTCAAGAACACAGTGAAAGTAGAATCCTCATTCCTGGTAGGAATGTAAAGTAGTGCAGCCACTTTGCAAAATAGTTTTGCAGTTTCTTAAAGGTTAAATATCAATTTACCATATGATTCAGTAATTCTACACTTAAGTATCTACTCAAAAGAAATGAAACATACATCCACACAAAGACTTACATGTGAATGTTTATAGCAGCATTATTCATAGGTGCCAACAAGCGGAAACAATCCAAATGTCCTTCAACTAATAAATGCATAAATAAAATGTGGTATGTTCAGACAATGAAACACTATTTAGCAATAAAAAGGAACAAAGTACTGATGCACGATACAACATGGATAAACATCAAAAACATTATTGAAAGATGTCAGATATAAAAGACCACATACTGTAGGATTCCATATATTTGAATTGTCCAGAGAAATATCTATAGAAACAGAAAGAAGATAAGCAATTGCCTAGGATTGGCGGTGAAGATAGAGATTGCAAATGGCATGAGGATCTTCTAAGGATGACTCAAATGTTCTAATATTGCATGTGGTAATGGTTGCACAACTCAGTAAGTTTACTAAAAATCATTACATTGTCTACTTAAAAGGGGTGGATTTTGTAGTATGTAACTTATATCTCAATACAGCTGTTTAAAAAAGACATGAGCTGATTATGGGATCAAGGCTAGAAAACAAAGTAAGGCCAGGAAATGGTTGGGAAAATCAGAAAAACAAAACAAAACAAAACTAGAAGCCTTAATGTGGTTGACAAGTTGGTGTGAAAGTGAGAGATTTGGGGAGTTGGCTTAATTTCAGAGATGACAGAGTCTGGATTTACAAACAAGAAAAATTAAAGGATAAGTATATTTCAAACAATTTATGAAAGATTTACAATAGAATCCTATAAAAGTAAGCACTACCAAAATATTTCAAATATGGATTGATTTGGAATATTGGAGTTATACTTTACATAAAGTGAAGTATACCTATATTCCATATTGTTTTTTAGTATCTATTTTACAGGCTTTCAAAAGTTGATTTCCATTCTCAAAAGACACTTTATTCTGAATAGCAGTTGTGCTGAGCCAACTGAGGCATACCACAGCTACTCCTCATCAACCCCTTGCGAGAGACAGGTTGGAAATGAGGTCAGGGAAAATACAAAGCATGAAGAACACTTTGCTGGAGGCTAGGTGATTAAGCCCTATTGCAATTAAACAAATGAGAGAATAATTTAAAAAGAGCAAAGTGACTCAAAGACATAGTGCATTGATCTCTTAAAAGTTCCTTTTGGACTCCGTAAATAAAGATGATTACATCTGAGTAGCTAAAGCTCAAGCTTCTTTTCTTTACCACTTTAAGAGAGATTATAAGCTCCTTTTCTTTATCCACAGCAAACTCGAAGTTTTACGTTCTGGTAGATATTTTTTTTAAATAATCAGTAAACTAGTTTAAAATGAGCTTTTAGTAATGCAACAAAATCACTGAACTCTACAACTTTTGGTTTGATTTTATTTTCACCAGACTGCCTTCTCCCATGCAATGTACCTACTAGTGAGAGTATTAATAAAACATGTAATTATTTTTATTCATCTGTCACAAACTTTTATTTATACTGTCTAGTTAAATGGTTACTTCTAAAATTTCTAGTGTTACTTTTTTATATAAATCAGATCCGAAACTCCCAATTTGTGATCTTTTATCTAAAAGTAAACAAAAACCACAGATCTTTTGAAAACATTTTAAAAAATAAGCAGTAAAAGTATAATGCAAGATGATGACAAAATTACAACACAGAATAAAAATAACATTTAAATATGTATAAGCTTCTTCAAGAATTTAAAATACTACAAATTACATGTAAAATGTGAATAATAAAGACTGACTTTATCAGTCCATAATATCCTGAAGCAGCATTAATTGTCTAATCTAGTCCTAGTCTAGCCTTTAAAATTTAGTCAATCCTGCCATCCATAATGGCATCTCTGGATAAAACAAATGGGATTTCCCGAGTGGACCTGAGCCAAAGCTATTGTTGGGGCCAAGACTGAATACTGATGGTCCTGACTAAAATGGAGAGTTGGGGTCACCGGGGTGATATCCTGCTGGTTCAATACTAGATTTCTAGGAAAGGACAGAGAAGATTTCTGATGACAAAAATTGTCATCTGTTTTGTGAGTAGACTCATTCATTAATTCAAAAATTATTTATTTAGCATCAGTTATGTGCAAGGCATTAATGAAAGGTTAGATGGCTAACAGGTTATCACCAGATATTGCATAAAAAAATTATTAGCCCAGATAATTTTTTTAACAGAAAAATATTCCCAATAATAATAAGTAGACTGGAAAAAATAAGAACATTAAAAGTATTTACCCGGCATATTTTTTTTAGTCATCCTGAACCTGTGTCTATTTATAATGTTCATTTAACTTATTTCCCTTTTCTAAGAGCTAAAAGTTACTCAATTTAAAAATTAATCATTCTTTCTGATATTCTCAATATATTCAATTCCATTTTTAAAAAGTACTTCCTATTTTCTTTAGAACATTGGGCTTTACCTTTAGTTATTATAAAGCCTTCAAAGATTATATAAAAGCAGATTTAACACCATTTATATTGGAAATTTCTAAACTTAGGAGGTCTATTACTATCCAGTTAGAAAGTTTCCCCATTCTATTCTTTTCATGTCACTGGACTGTCAGTCAGGAGATCAAGTATACCAAGAAATACTGGCCAAGAGGAAAATGAATTAGTTACTGTGCTTTCATTCTAAATGTCACTGCAAAATCAGAACAAGGTGTTTGCCTAATTTAAATGTTACTGGCAAAACTAGTTAGTTGAGATAATAGTTTAAAAAAAAGTGAAGTGTTTCCATTTTTTTCAACAACACTATAATATTAAGCTATATAAATATAGAAACTATATTACTAAAAGGTGTTTGAATGTTTATAAAGTTAGTATTAAATGAGTGTATATTTTCAATACTATAATATTCAATTCTTTAAAGATAATCTTACCTGAAGATTTGTGATTGTCTTTGTTTAATTTTTAACTCATGTTGCAACTGACTCAATTCTTTCTGTACTCTCTGAAAATCATTTTGGTGACTTTTTAACTGCATGCTTGCATCTCGAATTCTAAAAATATAAACAAATAACAACTGTTATAAGCCTAAATATTTCCTCATGAGTACTTTATCAAAATTTAAATCCACTTTTTTCATTGCAGCACTATTTACAATAGCCAGGACATGGAAGCAAACTAAATGTCCATCAACAGAGGTATGGATAAAGAAGATGTGGCACATATATACAGTGGAATATTACTCAGCCATAAAAAAAACCAAAATAATGCCATTTGCAGCAACATGGATGGACCTAGAGACTGTCATACTGAGTGAAGTAAGTCAGACACAGAAGAGACAAATATCATATGATACTGCTTATATGTGGAATCTAAAAAAAGGGGACAAATGAACATAGTTAACAAAACAGAAGTAGAGTCACAGATGTATCAACAGAAAACAAACTTATGGTTACCAGCAGATAAGGAAGGGGTGGGATAAACTGGGAGATTGGGATTGACATATACACACTACTACATATAAATAGATAATTAATAAGAACCTACTGTACAGCATAGGGAGCTCTACTCAGTACTCTGTAATGGGCTATGGGAAAAAAATCTAAAAAAATAGTGGATATATGTATACGTATAACTGATTCACTTTGCTGTACACCTGAAACTAACACAACATAGTAAATCAACTATACTCCAAAATATATTTTTTTAAATTTTAAATCCATTTTTAATAAAAATAAAAGAAAACTATGGGGGGGGAGACCTTCAAGATGGTGGAGAAATAAGACGTGGAGATCACCTTCCTCCTGACAATTACATCAAAAATACATCTACATGTGGAACAACTCTTACAGAACACCTACTGAATGCTGGCAGAAGACCTCAGACTTCCCAAAAGGCAAGAAAATCCCCACGTACCTAGGTAGGGCAAAAGAAAACAGAAAAAACAGAGACAAAAGAATAGGGACAGGACCTGCACCTCTGGGAGGGAGCTGTAAAAGAGGAAAAGTTTCCACACACTAGGAAGCCCCTTCACTGGTAGAGAGGGAGGTGGATGGGGGGAAAGCTTTGGAGCCATGGAGGAGAGCGCAGCAACAAGGGTGCAGAGGGCAAAGTGGAGAGATTCCTGCACACAGGATCAGTGCTGACCAGCATTCACCAGCCTGAGACAATTTTCTGCTCACCCGCTGGGGCAGGTGGGGGCTGGGAGCTGAGGCTTGGGCTTCGGAGGTCAGATCCCAGGGAGAAGACTGGGGTTGGCTGCGTGAAGACAGCCTGAAGAGGGCTGGTGTGCTAAAACTAGCTGGGAGGGAGTCAGGGAAAAAGTCTGGACCTGCCGAAGAGGCAAGAGACCATTGTTTCGGGGGGGGTGAGGAGAGGGGATTCCTTCCATGTGTGCCCACAGGAGACAGAGCACCACCTAAGCGAGCTCCAGAGATGGGCATGAGCTGTGGCTAGCAGCTCAGACCACAGAGACAGGCATGAAATGCTAACGCTGCTGCCGCTGCCACCAAGAATCCTATGTGCAAACACAGGTCACTACCCATACCCGCCCCCACAACCCCACAGGAGCCTGTGCAGCACACCACTGCCACTGTCCCCAGATCCAGGGACAACTTCCCCGGGAGAACACACAGAACACACCTCAGGCTGTTGTAATGTCACGCTGGCCTCTGCCGCTGCATGCTCCCGTCGCATTCCAATTATGACTACCATCCCCCTCCCTCTCCCTGGCCTGAGACAGCAAAAGAGCCCTAATCAGCCGCTGCTTTAACCCTCTCCTGTCTGGGTGGGGAACAGACGCCTGAGGGTGACCTACACACAGAGGTGGGGCCAAAACCAAAGCTGAACCCCAGGAGCTGTGTGAACAAAGAAGAGAAAGGGAAATCTCTCCCAGCAGCCTCAGGAGCAGCAGATTACACTCCCACAATCAACTAGATGAACCTGCATCTGTGGAATCCCTGAATAGACAATGAATATTCCCAAAATTGAGGCAGTGGACTTTGGGAGCAACTGTAGACTAGGGGTTTGCTGTCTGCAACTGATTTGTTTCTGATTTTTATGTTTATCTTAGTTTAGTTTTTAGTGCTTGCTATCGTTGGTGGATTTGTTTATTGGTTTGGTTGCTCTCTTTTTTTATTTTATTATTTCTTTATTTTATAATTTTTAAAATTTTATTATTATTATTTTCTTCCCTTTTTTTTGATCCTTTTCTTCTGAGCCATGTGGCTGACAGGGTCTTGGTGCTCCAGATGGGTGTGAAGCCTGAGCCTCCGAGGTGGGAGAGCCAAGTCCAGGACATTGCACTACCAGAGAGACGCCCCAGCTCCACATAATACCAACTGGCGAGAGCTCTCCCAGAGATCTCCTTCTCAACACTAAGACCCAGCTCCACCCAACGGCCTGCAAGCTCAAGTGCTGGATGCCCCATGCCAAACAACTAGCAAGACAGGAACACAGCCCCACCCATCAGCAGAGAGGCTGCCTAAAATCACACTAAGTTCACAGACACCCCAAAACACAAAACCAGACACAGCCTGCCCACCAGAAAGACAAGATCCAGCCCCACCCACCAGAACACAGGCACCAGGCCCCACCACCAGGAAGCCTATACAAGCCACTGAACCAACCTCACCCACTAGGGGCAGACACCAAAAACAACGGGAGCTATGAACTTGCAGCCTGTGAAAAGGAGATCCCAAACACAGTAAGTTAAACAAAATGAGAAGACAGAGAAATATGCAGCAGATGAAGGAGTAAGGTAAAAACCCACCAGACCTAACAAATGAAGAGGAAATAGGCAGTCTACCTGAAAAAGAATTCAGAGTAATGATAGTAAAGATGATCCAAGATCTTGGAAATAGAATGGAGAAAATACAAGAAACGTTTAACAAGGACTTAGAAGAAATAAAGAGCAAACAACAATGATGAACACCACAATAAACGAAATTAAAAATTCTTTAGAGGGAATCAGAATAACTGAGGCAGAAGAACGGATAAGTGACCTGGAAGACAAAATAGTGGAAATAACCACCGAAGAGCAGAATAAAGAATAAAGAATGAAAAGAATTGAGGGCAGTCTCAGAGACCTCTGGGACAACATTAAACATGCTAACACTCAAATTATAGGGGTCCCAGAAGAAGACCTGAGTCTGATAAAATATTTGAAGAGATTATAGTTGAAAATTTCCCTAATATGGGAAAGGAAAGAGTCAATCAAGTCCAGGAAGCAAAGAGAGTCCCACACAGGATAAATTCAAGGAGAAACACGCCAAGACACATATTAATCAAGCTATCAAAAATTAAACACAACGGAGAAACATTAAAAGTAGCAAGGGAAAAGCAACAAATAAAATACAAGGGAATCCGCATAAGGTTAAGAGCTGATCTTTCAGCAGAAACTCTGCAAGCCAGAAGGGAGTGCTAGACATATTTAAAGTGATGAAAGGGAAAAACCTACAACCAAGATTACTCTAGCCAGCAAGGATCTCATTCAGATTCAACAGAGAAATTAAAACCTATACAGACAACGAGAAGTTAAGAGAATTCAGCACCACCAAACCAGCTTTACAACAAATGCTAAATGAACTTTGCTAGGCAGGAAACACAAGAGAAGGAAAAGACCTACAAAAACAAACCCAAAACAATTATGAAAATGGTAACAGGAACATACATATCGATAATTACCTTAAATGCAAATGGATTAAATGCGCCAATGAAAAGACACAGACTGGCTGAATGGATACAAAAACAAGACCCATATATATGCTGTCTACAAGAGACCCACTTCAGACCTAGGGACACATACAGACTGCAAGTGAGGGGATATTCCATGCAAATGGAAATCAAAGAAAGCTGGGGTAGCAAGTCTCATATCAGGCAAAATAGACTTTAAAATAAAATTACAAGATACAAAGAAGGACACTACATAATGATCAAGGGATCGAACCAAGAAGAAGATATAACAATTGTAAATATTTATGCACCCAACATAGGAGCACCTCAACATATATGGCAAATGCTCACAACCATAAAAGGAGAAATCAACAGTAACACAGTAATAGTAGGGGACTTTAAAACCCCACTTTACCCAATGGACAAATAATCCAAAATGAAAATAAATAAGGAAACCCAAGCTTTAAATAACACATTAGACAAGATGGACTTAATTGATATTTATGGGACATTCCATCCAAAAACAACAAAATACACTTTCTTCTCAAATGCTCATGGAACATTCTCCAGGATAGATCATGTCGTGGGTCACAAATCAAGCCTCAGTAAGTTTAAGAAACTTCAAATTGTATCAAGTACCTTTTCCAACCACAATGCTATGAGACAGGAAAAAAACTGTAAAAAATACAAACACTTGGAAGCTAAACGATACGCTACTAGATAACCAAGAGATCACTGAAGAAATCAAAAAATACCTAGAAACAAATGACCATGAAAACACAATGAGCCAAAACCTATGGGATGCAGCAAAAGCAGTTCTAAGAGGGAAGTTTATAGCAATACAATCCTACCTCAAGAAACAAGAAACATCTCAAATAACCTAACCTTACACATAAAGCAGTTAGAGAAAGAAAAACAAAACCCCCCCCAAAGTTAGCAGAAGGAAAGAAATCATAAAGATCAGGCAGAAATAAACGAAAAAGAAATGAAAAAAACAAGAGCAAAGATCAATAAAACTAAAAGTTGGTTCTTTGAGAAGATAAACAAAACTGATAAACCATTAGCCAGACTCATCAAGAAACAAGGAGAGAAGACTCAAATCAACTGAATTAGAAATGAAAAAGGAGAAGTAACAAATGACACTGAAGAAATACAAAAGATCATGAGAGATTACTACAAGCAACTATATGCCAATCAAATGGACAACCTGGAAGAAATGGACAAATTCTTAGAAAAGCACAACCTTCCAAGACTAAACCAGGAAGAAATACAAAATATGAACAACTAATCACAAGTAATGCAGTTGAAACTGTGATTAAAATTCTTCCAATAGACAAAAGCCCAGGATCAGATGGCTTCACAGGTGAATTCTCTCAAACAT